TTGAATTCTTTTTTGTTTGAATGCGTGGCGTCGCTGATGACCTGCAAGCAGCCTGAAAACTACAGCACCAAACTTCTCTATTATTTGATGTCAAAATTATTCTGCAAATTCTTCTACAATCTGAATAATCAAATTTTAAGTTAAAATAATAATAATAAAATAACTTCTTGTAAATTCGAACTAGAGCGAGATACTTCCATAGACAACAGCTGATTGAATGGTCTGTTTAGATATGAAGTGTACAGAATTAAGCCTGGAAATTTCATTAAAAAGCATTATCACTTGCATTAATTGTATTGTTCTATGACTAAAATGTGAAGAATGTATTCACTTAGTATACTTACTGCATATATGCAAACACATACACATTGTATAAATCCTCGCATACATACAATTACCCTGACTTCTCAACGTTTTCCTTGACCTTCAGTCGTCCGTGTCTCTGTTGACAAATACTTGAGCCAATCGAATGTGACGATTCCTCCGATTCATGTACAGGAGGGACCACCAGTGTACGCGAGAGAAAGTATATTCAAAGCGATAGCACATGTATTGTACAATTGTGCAGTATAAACCTTGAAAGTTCATAACAAAACATGATTTTAATTAATTGTAGTATATTTCTATATACTGATGAATGTATTCGCATAATATACTACTTCATATATACAAACTCATACACATGGCATAAATCCTCGCATACATACAATTACCCTGACTTCTCAGCGCTTTCCTTGACCTTCAGTCGTCCGTGTCTGTCTTGACAAATACTTAAGCCAATCGAATGCTACATTTCCTCTGATTCATGTGAAGGAGGGACCACCAATGTTTGCCAGGGCGAATACCTTCAAGGAGGTTTGAGGTATCGGTGTGCGGTTTGCGCCAAAGTGTTGAAGATCAGGGGAGAAAGTACGTTTTCTACAGTAACGTTTTAAATATTTAATATGCTGACTGATTTTTTACTTTCTCGTATACGTACGTAATTATATAATTTGTTTCTGTTGCTGCATCAAAATACAAAAAAAAAACAACAAAACATTAAAAGCTCTGAGGCGTAGTTCACTTAATAACGAAAATAATATCACCCTCAAAATTTTTTATTTCATGCCATATGAAAACGTCCATGATTCAATGCAGATGGGCTGAGGGTTCAACAAATCAAAATATTCGATAGAATGGTAGCATACCATATGAAATAGCTTAAAACCAAACGTTTTCGCACTTGATTAAACATACAGGGTATATTTCTCGAAATCTAAAATACTTACTGTACTAAATACAAGAACAAAAATAAACCCCTCCGTATAGAATGTGCTACGTATTCACAAATGTTTGTAAATTTCTCAAAACCGAAGAGTTGAAAAACTTTTTGAAAAAGATGAAACACAGTATCAGTTGCAGCTTCATCGAAAACACAGAACAATCAAAATTTAATCAGCTATATTTATTCATTCCTTGAAAACTAGTTTCATTACAGTAGACTGCAGAGCCGTTTCTAGAAGTAAGCATGGTGGACGTAAGATTGTTTCTAGCATTTCTATAGGCAAGCTTAGTACATGTAATCACATTTTATTAATAAACCTCAAAATGCTGAACTAAGAATAGTAAGCAACGAAGATTAAAAATTTAAGCACGTTTGAACAAACTACGGCACGAGAGAATTCCATACATCAACCTACGTACAAAAACAGCGGTCTGAAAAACGTTCAAAAGGTATTTTAATGTTTAATCTGCATGGTCTTGTTCACTGAGATCTCCTGCATGTACATGTAAATGTGCATGTACATGTTCGTTTTGTTTTATTTATATGATAACACTATCACAACGCTGCAATTCATGACGGCCATTGCAGCACTGTAGTCGCACTAGCGCCAAATATTGAATGTTACCAAAGTAAAAGTTTCTTTAACATAAGCCCCATAAATAGCAAATGCAGATCCATGGTTAGAGAAGCCAAAGGGAGTTGCAAATCAACATTTTCAACATTTTCAACTGCCACCTCATTTAATGAATTACTAGAATATTATGTTCAAATAATCACTATCATTCTATTACTATAAGAACGATATATAATTTCTAAGTTCAAACACTATTTTTTAAATTTATTTTACACCAAAGACAGTTAAAAACTATTTGACGTGCTACGGGTAAGTGAATTCTGTACAGGTTTTCATTATTCTGTGATCCCTACCCCAAGCCATATACTAGTTGAATTTCGAATACAGTAAGAAAGGAATGTTTTTTGAAAGAATTTTTTACAAAATAGTCGCTACGATGTAATAGAATTTATTTTCAAGGGTAAATGAGCTATTTCTTTGGGCTTTATGCATCATAACTTTCATGAAATACAAGAACTTTCTGCCGCGACAACATGGAGAACGATAATTTGAATAACTACATTTCCCATTGAACTCTAAAAGACTTGCCCAGATAATGAAGTTACATTTATGTCCAGAAGCAAAACAAATGGTCATATCAGCACTTGCTCACTTATTACAAAATTTATTTTCTAAAAGGAAGGCAGGGATTATTAGAACATTACTGTCGATTAACAGTTTGACTTCAGACAATCGAAATGAAAAACAAAAAGAAACTGTTTATTCCACAAACTTTTGCGCATCCAAACTCAAGGTTTGCGTGGTATTCTTGAGCCCCAGAATACACACCCTCACTCCTTTTCTACGATTACTTGAATTTGGAATAAATGTTGGCGACGAGCGCTGTTTACAAAACCTAATTACCAGAAAAGTGCGCTCTCGTATAATAGAAACCGTTTTGCAATATAAAACGAACTACACTTATTAAGCAATAATGACGCCACGATAACACACGCGGCATAATTTCTTAGTTTATTTCTTTACACATATAATGGCATATAACTATGCACATTCAATTCCTTACTTAGGCTTTGAAATTCTTCGGCATCAATCGCACTTCAACTGAAGTTTGAATGGAATCGTCGCTGCGGTAAGGCACCAAGGGCATAATTCGAACGCCACAAGATGTGCGACACGGAACAAGGAACATCGCCCTTCGTGAACTGACAGAAATAAGCTAATTCGTAATAGACCGCGCGAGTGTGGAGCGCTGCTGTGAATGTTGGTATGACATAATCAATAACTTTTAAATAGTGATAATTGTATCATTCCGTTACAACTGACTGCACATAACAACTTCTACAGTCAATCAAATTCTATACATATATATTTCCCTGAAAATGTCATTTACAATAGTTTTGATGCAGGTGGATCCGTTGGACTATGGGAAAAATTGATAATGGAAAAGAGAGCGAATTTCGACATCTTTCACCTCTTTCTGAAATACTTCGAATCTATGAAACTTAACGGTCCCTAAAAAATAAAATAATTGGGATCTCGGTCGTATTCCTCTCACGGCATACGCCATGTGGGAAGGCTCCAAGAATGAGGCATTAAAAGGTTCAGGAATTAAAATACTAAATATATTTATATTGGAAATATTAAAATATGCAATTTATGATATGAGAAATAGATCACAAATATCAAACAATTTAAGTTGATAGCACATTGTCTTGTCCCCAAATGTTTAAGTTCGTTATTATAGATAAAACGATTCCTCTGCAAAATTTCAATTTGTTCCCTTGTTGATTATAATTATTTTTACTTTCTCGTCTACGTATGTATACACGGAGTAATATACGTAGTATCGAGAAAGTTATGTAATACAGCAGAAAATCGATTTCGAGAACGGAAATACGTTTTGGGACGCCTAATACCGAAAGAGTGTTTTTCAACATGTCCGTCCGTCTGTAGAGAACACTGGCGCCTAAACTAGTCATAGGTGCTTTTCCAAAATGAGTATTCTCCAACAATTCTGGCCCGTCTTAAAGCTCTGCAAATTTGAAAACTTTTCGAAAATTACAAAATTTTGATTTTTTTGTCTTTTTACAACTTTAATACGAAGACAGCGATCTCCTCAGTTATGTTCTCTACAGTTAGTTAGTCATGAGCAGTTTTAAAAATTTTATTAGTAAATTAAAAAAATATTTTAAAAAGATATTTTTTAAAAAGGTTCCAATTTTTTCTTCTTACGGATAGTGCTAAATGCACAGAATAAGCTGACATAAACCTTAAGATGATTATTTATTAATTTATTATTTGCCCGGTTCTCTGTAGGACAAACATTTACAAAAAATATTTTTGATGATTTCAATCCGCACACCAGTCTGTTGTGAAATATAAATATAATGTTTACACTAACCCCGTGGATCTCCCCTAGCCAGGACGACATTACATTTTCTGATTTCGTCCAAGAGGGGAAAGGTGTTTCAAAACGAAGTTTTCTGAGCGAAAAGAAAAAGTCAGCCTTCAGTCTTTCGACGTTGATTTAAAAATGAAGGGCGGCATCCACAATAAGGAACGCGTTTTGTTGTTCCTCCTCGAGGAGTAGTCCTGAATCCGCCGTGAAAACGACGTGTGCAAACAGCGTCATACTTTACACTTTGGAGCGTCATGATTCTTTAATGTCGCTGTAAAAGGGACGTTTACGGACAATATAGTCCTTATAAGAAAAGAGACGTAAACGCACTCTTTACAAGACTGTTTACAGTTCTTCACACACAATTCTTAATCGCCGAAACATTGAAATCTTGAAAAAGTCTTTCGAGGCTGAATGATGTTGGACACAGACGAGAAACATTATGATGTTTCTTAGTACTTCCGAGTGGCTACATAAACGTCTTGGAAAGAAAGAACTACAGAAATGGGATGTTGGATTTATGCAACAGGGTTTATTCTCAATCAATCGGGTGGGCTGTAGCACTACATACTTTCTCGCATTTGTTGCACTTTTGCAATTTTCGTAAATTCAGAGACTCAACAAACCTCGCTCTTGAGCCACTTTAATAAACGCACTTTACAATACCCAAAATAAGAAGATTTAGCGGCTTTTGATAAAATCTTGTTTTAAAAATTGCCGTTATTTCACTCAAAATTACGCGAAGACTTCTCATAATTTGGAAACATTGTACATGAACTCATTTAAAGATATGATAGTGAAGAATATATTTCATTCAGAAAAAAATATTTTTATCTTTAATATCGTAGTTGTAGGAAGTCGTCGAAAGAATTTTTATTTTTTTAAATTTTCATAATATCTGAGAATACAACAAAATTGGTCCGTTTTATTATCGTTCTTTGCTCTACATAAGAAAACAGTTGTAGCAATTTCTGAGAAAATTTGGAAAATGTTCAGATTTCATCAAGAAATCAAAATATTCGTTTCAAATTCAGAAAGACGTCACTTCAAATATATGGATTGGAGAACATCAATTTTATGAAAATCCTGCCTACGGTTTAGTCGCTAGCGCTCTTCACAAACGTACAAGCAGTCATTTTACCGCACACCAATTTTTCGGTGTGAAGGGCCCAAAAATCGCGGATTCTGTCTACACACAGGGTTACAGGAAATTATGGTCTACATATAAAAACAAGTGTGATCCTCATTTTAGGTTTCAGGACGCCAGGATTTTATTTGTGGAAATATTGCTACTTTTTGGGGAGTATTTCAGTGCTTTCTGTATATTTCTTAAGTAGTCTGCGAAAATGTAAAATTAAATATACGTATTGGGTAAGTTTGACAATTGCTATGCTTTTGGTAAAAATTAGGTTTGTTTTAGGTATTTTTAAAAAGATATTATTATTTTTGCCATATTTATAGAACGTGAAAATCAAATGAAATGTTTAGTGAAAATATAATAATTTACATCATTAACAATAATTACAAAATTCTAAAACGTAAGCTTTGCAATATGTCACGTAAATTATTTTAAATTAATAATTAATTTACATGACAATTTAAAATTAGTTCTTTTAATATTAAGTGCTTCTAAATTACCACCAAGAATTATTTGTTGTGTCTAGATTCCTTTTTTACGCATAAACACTTAGAACAATGAATAACGTACTAAAGTACCGGTTGACACACTGCTGATGTAATACACTCCTATTTTGTTAAAACGTGATGAATTTATAACAAATGGAAAGATAAGTTCACCTACTGATTTGTTCATTCGTCTATTCCATGCGTTCGAAACTTCGAGAACGAGGATTGTAACCTACTTTCGAGGTCTAGAGCTATGTTTCGACGTAACAGGGTCAATCGAGGTAATTATGATACAGAAAAAGCAAACTTTCCACCTTATATTCTATACCCTTTGCAACAAACTCTTGGAAGAAGTACTGAATATATGTCATTTGGTGCTAAAGACGTGTTCGAAGTAAAAAATAACTCAAGATCTACCACAACAATTTTAAAAACCAATAGTGTAACAAATTAGTCCCACCTGATGGGTCTAATACGATACATTGATGGGGTCAAACTGGTGCGACGTAATATTTCTATGAATTTTGATTGTGAAACAACGAGTGGGACACCGTAGGGTCTAGTGTCTCAACGGTTTTTTTTTCATTTTTCCCTCGTTTGCGATGTTTAAATATTGTAATATTTAGAGTTCCTACTAAATGGTCATTGATAATAACCCTACCGAACCTACAGAAATTGAAATATTTTTGGAATTCCTGTTACTTATTAGAGGGTTTAGCGCTTGTCAATGTCCCCACTCTATGTCACGGATAATCAGAAAGTATAGAACATTGACATTTTTGTAAAATAAGAAATTGACTACGAATTGTCTATACCATTAATAGCACAGTTACAAGTATAACTGTTCGTTAACAAACGATCAGCTATATTAGAATGTTTACAATTGCATAGTACCAGGCATATAATGCTCTAATGTACAGTACAGGACCTTTTCGTTGGAAATTGAGTTCCAGTACTAAGCTATTTTCAATTTTGAAACAATTATTAACTAAGTGTGGAATATTTACAAGTGTATATTTATTTTTATTGATCTTATAGCTGGATATCTCCGATCGTAGGTAAAGAATGTTTCTAGTTCAATGAGAGATTCTAGATTGGTACATCAGCATTCGCCTGGAAGAGATCAGGAAAACCAGAGCAGACGGCTTACGACAATTCCATCAGTCCCCACAAACTCACTGACGCTAAACGCATCATTCAAATGTTCAGCAGTTATCGGGAATTGAAACCCTAACCTCTCCAATCACTGCACTCGAGAAGGGGCGTTCAAAATGGCGGGGCAAGTGGATCAATTTGCCCCAGGCCCGGATTCTTTTCTTTCAAAAGAAATGAAAAATATATTCATCTCCAATCCAAATTTAACGCTATAAGTTATTTCTGATGCATGGAGAAATTCATTCTGTTAATGAATTGACGAAGGAGGGAATTTTTGTTTGATATAAGGAGTCTCCTTGGATGAACTGGTCGGGAGCCAAATTTTTTTCTGAACGCTCCTGTATTCGAGGCATAAGGCGTTCTTTAACGCCAATTTCTGCCAGTGTTGGTTCACGGGTGTACTGAAAATCTAAAAACAGGCGAAAGACGTCCAAAATGTCGGCGACCTTGGCCTGGCCCGGCTTTCCTTTCCGTAGCCTTAAGCCCTTTCCTCGCCGACGCCGTTCGTCGAACAGACGCTCACGTGACCGGCCCTTTCACAAGCGACACTGAATAATCCAGCACGCCTGTCCCTGCTGCGTGCCGGCGCCAGCCCTTCACTCTGATTGGCTCCCGCCCCCCTCCGCCGCTGCCGCTCCACCCGTCGGGGCGCTGCCAGGCGCGACGACGAGAAATATCTGTTCTTTGTGCTACACGGCCCCGCCCATTTGCTTAATGCTGCCACGTGGCATTGGCTTGCGTCGCCCCTTACTCGCCCTCCGCACGGGCAGACACAAACGCGCGGTTTGCCGCCCGCCCGGCTCGTCGGGAGGGGGGCGAGGGGGGGCGCGAGCAACGGGAAGTGACGAGCGCCACGGAGCGGGGGATTTTCTCTTGGATTTCATTTAGCCAAAAATGTCCCGTAAAGGGCAATTAGTGTCGGGGCCGTGAAATCCCGGGATTCCTAGACGGTCACACAACCAGGAACGTTCGTGATTTCACGCAGTTAACGACTTCGGCTATTGACGCCGGTCTCGCCCTCGTGGTCTTTTAGTAGAAGCACCCGAGCGTTCGCGTGGATGACCGGGGTAAGCCACCAAATTCTCGGTCAGGATGTCCGACATATGGATCGAACGGCGTATGAATGAGTCAGCGCGTTTTGCGCCTGAGCCACTTCGCTTGGTTGTTTCCTCTTAGCGACGGGGTATTATGACAGAAGACCGTAAATAAGGAAGCAAAATGCTTTGCGAGATCATGGAGAGTATTTCGAAAAGATTCTCTAATTCACGGGATTGTGGATTTATGCTGGTGTATGAATGGTATAATAGATATGTTAACAGTAATAACTTCGAAGCGGTTACGAAGTTTTAACTTGAACTGTTATACTTAATGTATGTGTATAAATTATTATTTTTTATATTGAGCAACACTTTTTTTTCTCAAAGAATAAGCGAGCGACAGGAAGTGGATGCTAAGTAACTGTGATGCTCTAACGCTTCAGACGTTACACTCGGAGTCTGTGGTATGATCGTTAGTGGTTGTTTTTTAAAGCGAGGAATGCGTTTTCAATTTTAAAAACCGAATTTATTTTGCTCCTCCGTTGTGCGCACTTGCAATTCACATTCGCCGTTTGTCCCTATGCGAGGGGGAGATCCCTTGCGTGTAGGTCGGCGCCGAGATATCATCTCCCGCCGAAAACATACACTACGCTAATACCATAGCATTTGTCGTGCCCGAATATATCAGTCATTCAATCAATCAACAAACGGGCGGACAGACTGGCAGACTGACAAACCGTCGGAAAGTTGCAGAAAAACAATTTTTTGGCATCAGGGAATTCCAAAACATGCCTTCTATCTTCCGGTTCGTTATGGCGCCGCTTCGCTATCAACTTTTGCGAAAGTCGATTTTCCGGAAAATTACATAACTTTCTCTTTACTATGCATGTTACTCTGCACATCCGCACGTCTGTATACGAGAAAGTAAAAGACGCATTTTCCAGGGACCCCAAAACTTGTATTTCCCTTGATATCTTGAAATCGATGTTTCGTAGCCTTACGTAACTTTCTGTTTACAACGTATGTAAACAAGAAAGTAAAAGGATATGTATCTTACATCTGGAATAGTTTTGAGCCCTGACAATCACAAATGAATTGAAATTGAAAAAAATGAGCGTTGTCGTCGAAAGCAAACACAGCCTTTTATAACTGCTGTGATTCTTCCACAGATAATTCACAACTGGGTTACGATCCTTGCTGCCTCATTTCGGAGGAGTTTGCTTTGTGCCGTTATCTCTCATCTTCAGTCCCGAAACGGCATTAACGTGCTTTATGAGTAAATTTCCCGTCGTTACGACAACCAGCGAAGAGATGGGCAGAGCCCTCCCATTTGCAGAGATATTGCTCGCGGTGTAAATTTTATTTCTCGACCCGCTCTCCGAAACTGCATTGTACAGGTTGATACCCCGTTAAGGTAATTTCAGATACGAGAAATTGAAGAAGGTACTTTAAGAAGAAATGAGGTAAATTATACTCATTGTGTTAATAAAAATAAATATTCAATACTACTATTTGAGAACTTGAATATGAGGTTTACAGTAATGAAAATAATGTGAATTAAAGTCATTATTTAATAAAAGCAACTCTGGTAAATCTAAAATATATTTTTCAAATATCTGAGGGACATCCGTGTATTAATGAGTGAGTGACTGTAATTCGAAATGATAAAGAAGTTGACGGATTTGACTAGATTGAAAAGCCTTACACAGTAATCGAGCTGACATTAATGGTTATCTAAGAGCGTCTACCAACTCAGCGGTTTGGTCCGAAGGGTCGCGGTTTCGAGTCCCGTCTTTGGCGTGGTGTTTTGTCCCTTGTTTCTCGTGTATGTGTTGGGGCGGAGGGCCTCTCGTTCCGCTGAGCCCACAAGTGTGTTGGTGTCTAGTGTGTGGTCGAATATGTGCCCATCGGACCGTAAAAGGTAACCTGCTGTCGACTGTTCTAGTAGGTAGTTCTAGAAAAAAAAAACGTCCATCCTCCTCTCCAGCTTAGACCCCTTTCAGGTCACCTTTCCGAACAAATGAGACACGAATTGACGCGACTCTGTTTTTGGTACGGAACTTACCATCTGTTTTCAGGCCTTTCCTAACAACATTCTGAGAATAGTATCGAAAAAGCGCTTTTGGGGAAGGATGAATAAATACTAAATACCTTTTTTGTGGCGTTTCAACATATCTACGGATATGATCATCACTTGTAGATGTTAACTAGGCAAATCCATTGACAGAAATTCAGCAGAATCTTTTTAGAATATTCTGGAAAAATATCTAGTTTAGAAATCTGTTAATTAATATACGTTTTTTCCCGTTTCAGCACAACGTGAAAACGATATTCATAAGATTGCCGACAGATCTAATGATATAAAGAAACGATAATATTTCATGTTTCTCTGTGCCCAATAAAGGACGACTGTATTGTATTTAAAATATATTTTTATTACTAACTTACACAGCACAAATGAAAAACTTCGACATGAAACTATCGCCACCATAAATTATTAATAGAATATTGTGTGAACTCTTTCTTGCAAAACATTTTGTTTTATTTGTTGGGATTTGATGTCGTTAGACAGGTTCGTAGGATTGTCTCATATTACACAGAAAACAAACGAGTGGAAATGTTTTATCCGACTGAGAACGTATTTTAGTGTCCATTACTGCACATTTGGTTATTTGTCGTGTATTCTTATTATTTCTTTTCGGAATCGATATAGATAAATCGTTACCAATAAATAGTTAAAATATTTACGACAAAAACTCTTTTATATCAAAATGTTTCATTTAGGAGCAGTAAATGCTGAACCCTTTTACCAGCTATTTTACTAATGTCTTCAAAAATACATTAAATATAATATGATCGCTCCATAATACGCCTTTTAGAAACCCTCTTTAATGACGTTCTCAAAACAAACATGTCGGAAGAAATTACGGGGGAAGAGATAATGGTATCTTATTTTTATTACCTAAGATATAGATAACTTCTTTATATTATTGAGTAGTAAATTTGCTTATTTGATAATCACATTGCAATACGTTCCAAATATTTCAATTGTATTAAGAAAATTGATTACACAATTACATCATTTTTTTCTTATACTCTTGAAGAAACAAAACTTTTTCTTGTGTTGCTCTCAATAAAGCATTTTGTAGTTGCTTTTCTTTAAATAACTGCATTTATGTTTCATATTTTGAAGCATGCTTGTAAGCTAAAATTAATTTTAGGAATTCTGTACAGAAAAATATTTCACTGCTAGTTAACGAACTACAGAAAATTAATCATTCAGAACTCGTCAATTAATACATTGTATATCCACCAACATTGACATGAACTGTCATACAGAGCTTTATTTCCAAACATTTTCGTTAATTAAAACTTAATAAGTAAATAGCCGATAGGCATTCGGGAGCATAATAGAATAACAGGGACTGTTTGATATAACGAGCGCCATTGAATAACAACACAGGGACGTGAATTAAAAAAAAAATCTGCTGTGAACACAACCTCTCCGGGTGGACGAGGCCCGGCGGCAGAAGATTCCCAGATAATTTACTTTCGTTAATTGCGGCGGTGGCCGCGCGCCTCTCATTTGTCCCGTGATGGCTGCGTCCGAGCGGCGAAGATAATCTTGTATCGCCGGTGCTGCGTGAAGGGATGCAATTAACATCAACCGGAAGCTAATTACCTTTTCGTCATTTCCCGCGCCGCGCCCGGTTGGCCGGGTTTATGTCTGTTTTTGCGTATTTTGCGCGATCGCCACCAGAGGCCGCGGCCTCGCTGGGTGGCTCGCTGGAATGCGATTGCGCCCGAACAGTACTTCCCGCAAACAGTTTTAGCATTTAAATGGCTGCTATTGATGTTTTGTGTCGCCAAATGGTGTTGGCACGTGATGCCATTGAACTTCGCATAGTGATTCGGTTATTCTCTGTTTTAGCAATGTTTGGAATGCCAAAACCCTTGAAATTATAATTTCAGTAGTGGTGGGGTTTCACCACCGTCACACTG